CTTAAAGCAGTGATGGGCCTCAATATTGACATAACCAAGAAAGTCTCCCAGGATAGTGTAGACTTGTTAACTGCGCTTGGGGACCTAGAATTTGTGGGGTGTGCCAATTGAACGGTAGCACCTCTTGGGATTCAGAGGGAGCACACGGTTGTGTGCAATCAGCACTCACCTCACTTCACGTGCCCTTGTTTTACATGCGTGTCACTTAGTGATACTGGTAGGGAAAAACCTGTGTGGATGGAAACCAGAATCGGGCAACTTTTTGGTGTGGACAACAGTAAACAGAATATCTTGTGGGCCATGTACAGAACTCGGATGGCCACAGGTTGCCTTCCACTGGCTCAGAGGAAAATCTGTGGGGTCCATGTTGGCAAACAAATGGTTCAGTCTCTGTTCATGTGCATATTTTGTTGAAACTGTCAGGCCTAAGCACTGGGGTATGCTTAGCAGGATTCTTCCATCTGTTTCAAACAGAACTGTGGTTGCTGCCTTCTCCTTCCCCCAGCCCACACCCCTTAGTGTAGGTGATGCTTAAAGGCTAGAGTCAGAGATGGGATTCAGGAAGGCTGAAAGAATTGGGTTTGTTTAGTTTGGAAAAGAGAAGATTGAGGGGGGACATGAGAGCAGTTTTCAGGTATCTAAAAGGGTGTCATAAGGAGGAGGGAGAAAACTTGTTCATCTTGGCCTCTGAGGATAGAACAAGAAGCAAGGGGCTTAAACTGCAGCAAGGGAGGTTTAGATTGAACATTAGGAAAAAATTCCTTCCTAGCTGTCAGGGAGCTCAAACACTGGAGAATAAATTGCCCAGGGAGGTTGTGGAATCTCCATCTCTGGAGATATTTCAGAGTAGGTTAAATACATGTCTATCAGGGATGGTCTAGATAGTACTTGGTCCTGCCATGAGGGCAGGGGGCTGGACTTGATGACCTCTCGAGGTCCCTTCCAGTCCTAGTATTCTATGATTCTATGACTTGTACAGTGCAGCAGGAAAGTGACTTTGCCTGTATTTAATTTGGGTTATCTTGGTCTTCCCTTAGAAAGATTTGTATGTGTAACAGCAAAGGACTAAGTTCCTGTAGAAACCTTTAGCTCCATTTTGCTTAAAAGCAAGTGTTGAGCTATGAGACCTACAGTTGATAAGCAGTTTAGCTCAGGCATATTGGCAGAGAGGAGCCTAACCTTAAAGGAGGGGCAGCTTGCTCCCAATCCATCTTTTTATTGGAAACCTTTTCTTCAAGTGCTTACGCTGACTCCATTGTAGGTATGCATACCCACATATGCAGCTGTTGGAGATTTTTGCCTTAGTGGTACCCATAGGGCCAGAGGTACCCTTTAGCATGCTGTGGTATATCAGGTGCCACCAACCCATGCCCTTTCAGTTCTTTCTTACTGCTTGTGGGGGTCAGTTGGTGTGCCTCTTCTGCTTGGTTTCTGAGGGGTAGCCATGTTAGTCTGTTTCAGCAAAACCAAGGGAGAATCCAGTGGCACTTTAAAGACTAGCACATTTTTTAGAGCATAAGCTTTTGTGAGATGCAACTCACTCGCTACTCTATATGTACTGTAACCCCTGGACCGGTTTCTAGGCCACTAGAAACATCCTTGAGAAAACCCTGTTGCTTGATGCTTTAAGAGTAAGTCTCAAAGCAAGGGCAACCCCCCTGTAGGAATAGTCCAGACTCAGCTCTGGGAGAGTTGATTGGTTTGTCTGCTGCATACTTGTGGCCTCCATCTTGACAACGTTCCAGTGTGACGGCGAGTCGGGGTTCCCCCGATCATGCAGCCCCATAGCAACAAGAACAGACTCCGCCAGTCAGTAGAATAGAGAGGGGTTATTGCTTTTCCAGGATGCATAACAGCCTTCACATGACATGGCTAAAGGAGTCTGGGCCAGGATGCTCTTGATGGGGTGCTTGGGCCCTTAGACTCTCAGCCCCCCTCCTTAGTCTGTCTCCTTCATGATTCCAGCCAGAAACTGACCCTTCCCCCAACACTCACTTCCTTTGTTCCTTCCCTTCCCTTAACTGGTAGGACCAGTTTGGTCACTGTCACAGGGGCCCTCAAGGTGCCCCCCTGTTGGGCAGTGTTTACAGACAGAGGCCAGTAGGGGTCGCCCACAGCCCAAGCATAGCAACCAGCAAGGTACTGACGCTACATCACACCCAGTTTGTCATTAACATTAATTTTTTGTACGCTCATAACCTACTAGTGAAGTAGGGAAGCATCGCTGTTCCTGTTTTATAGAAGGGAAACGGAGGCACCTAGTGAACCTATGGCTGTTCATTGTTAACTTCTTGCTGGGCCTTGACCGCCTCAGTGAGCTTCAGGAGGGGGAAGATTAGCAACCTGTTATAGCCCCTGATTCTCTGCCCTGGTCCTGACTCATGTACTAGCTGTCTGTGGTCCCAAAGAGATCACTTGCAGCTCAGGAATAGCTGGAGGGTAGCAGACGCACTCCCTCCACATCCCAACACAGTGCTATGTCCAGCAGAAGGTGTTAGAGCTTCATACTCTCGCTTTGCACCCGCAGTCTCCCTCCGCCAGGCAGCTTCTGCTCTCTTTGCACCATCTGAAGGGCACAGAAAGTGGACTAGGCCAAAGGATCTGCTCCAGAGTATCCATGCGGATCCATGGCCTCCTTGAGATAAGTTTGGCTCTCGGGCTGGTGCCAAAAGCCCACTTGAGGGACTTGGTATGTCTGTAGCCCATCTGCCTGTAGAAGCAGAACTTGATGTTAGGCGCATGCCGATATCCTCTTCAGTTCAGGGAGCAGAGCTTGGCAGCTTTTCCTCATTAATTGCACAAAAGG